TTGTTACTCTCTTGTAACACCTCTAATCTTCTGGCGCTCATATGACCTTATGCAGTTGCGAGCGCCGTAAAACCTCTACTAAGCAAGCAAGCAAACCCTATAAGTATGTCTGTCTATCTGTGTGGGTGGTTGGAGGGTGTCACTGGTAGGTCCTACTTCTTTTCTTTCCCTCTGTTGTTTCTGTCTGTCTGTGTGGGTGGTTGGAGGGTGTCTCTGGTTGGTCCTACTTCTTTCCTTCTTCTATAACATCATAACCTGTGGGTGTTTTGTGGCTGCTCTGGTGTGGTTTGCTCCTTCCTTCCTATCAAACATCTATCGATCTGACCTCTCCTCCTCCTTTTTTATGTATGTTACTCTCTTGTAACACCTCTAATCTTCGGCACTTATACAACCTTATTTTGTTGCAAGTGCCGTAAAACTCTTACTAAAACCCGAGGCAGGGGTAGGTCCAGAGCAACCTACTCAGGGAACCTAAACAAATGGGCAACGGGGAAAGATCAGGGAAACGTAGGTTGTGTTTTTTTTTAGAACATCCGACCAAAGGAATGAATGGAGAATCATGATCGCCGTAAAACACTTTTTTTTTTTTTTTTTTTAAAGAAAGAAAAAAAAATCACACAAAAATGCACAAAATAAATTAATAAATTAATTTTAAAACTAAAATAAAAACAAAAACAATTATTAAAAAGCCCTCAACTGTCGGGATCGGGGAAGCAACCATTAGAATTCTGTCTGTGCGATTAGTCATTACAGAGTTATGTTTCCTGAACACAACTACAACAAAAACAACAACAACAACGACTGAAACAACAGCAACAAAAACAACAACAACAACAACAGCAACAACGGTAAAAAAACCCAATAACAACAACAGCAACAACAGTTATAACAATAACAAAAACAACAACAATAACAACAACAAAAAGAACAACAACAACAACAGCAACAACAACAAAATGATCTACTTTTCACAAAACTGGCAATCACAGTGTTTATTCATCACGATATGGCACGTTACTATAATGTCCTTATGACCTTATGCAGTTGCGAGCGCCGTAAAACCTCTACTAAAACTAAACTATCTGTCTGTCTGTCTGTCTGTCTGTCTGTCTGTCTGTCTGTCTGTCTCTGTCTGTCTGTCTGTCTGTCTGTCTGTCT